CACCAACCACTCCTCGATAGAAAGATGAGGCTTTCTGCTCCCAGGAAGACTTCAAAGGCCTCTGAAACCCATACAGCATCACTATGAGTGGGAATCAACTCAACAACACATAACAACAACAGAGTGGGTGGTGCAATAGGGAGCCATAGGAGATGTTGGAGCAAAGGAGGCACTGGAGCGGCAGTGGGCAGGTCAGCAGGGTCAAGGCCATGAAGGATCGGTCCCATGGCCAGTGTATCAGACCCTGCCCAGCACTGCCAGCAGGGGGCTTTCATGGGTGTACAGTGGGTCAGCTTCCCTAAGGAAGGCCACAGGTGCGTCCTGAGCGATGGAGCACATGACTGAAACACAGAAGATGCTCAACGGACAGGCAGCAGGATCCCCCTTCGGGGCCTGAGACTGGTCTTGGCGACAAGAAATCATGCTTGCCCTAGCGTAGTCCTTGCACACATGGTGTGAGCGGAACAGGAGAGCGTTCTTGCATACCCACGTGTGCTAGAGAGAAGTGTGTACTGTTTCCATGAGCATCCAGGTGTTCCTCCACAAGACCCCTTAAGGCGAGCTCTTTACCAGCCCAGCTTCTGCCATCGTGAGGGAGAGACAGAAACGCAGGTATCGGAAGAACAGCTCTCGGAGAAGGAGGTCAGGGAGGGTCGGAGACAGGACAAATGAACAGTGGGCTAGGGGCCAGCGTGGGAGGCTCTGGGCAGCTAGGAAAGGCGGTTGATGTAACCAAGAGTCCAAGATTTTCATTGGCTCCTTGAACATTTTTGGAGAGAGACAAGTAAGGATTTAGATTGCCAGTGTGGGTTTCTTTGCATAAGGCTGGGCCCTATGGTAATGTGCATAGTGAGTTACATGTTGGGCTGGTAACCGTAAAGTCATCAGTTCAAGTCCACTGGCCGCTCTGTGGGAGAGCGCTGAGACAGTCTAGTGCTGTAAAGATTGGCCACTTCAGAAGCCCTGTGCTTCAGTCCCACTGGGCCCGGTGGGCTGGCTATGTGTCCGAATTGGCTAGGGGCCAGTGGGTCTGATTTGGTTTGGTGGGGGGGGCCACATGGGACCCTGGCTTTGATTTGGATTACAAGTCCCTTCCACACCCATGTGCATTATAGTTCCCTTTAGGGGAGGGGAGGGAAATGGAGAGTTCTTGTGTATTAGAAAATAGTGGTTCCTGTTTAAAGGCAGCGTATGTGGAACACAGGAGACGGTCAGAGAGAATTGTCCTGAAAGAAGAGGCTTCTGGGACACAGACCCTTGCCCCTCTGGACAAGCTGAAGTGAGCTTTCTGTCACAAGATGTACACGAGCACTCTCGGGCTGACCGCTGGTGGTCAAGCAGCTCAGCCCCTGTCTCCTCTGCTCCTAAGCCCCCTCGAGCAGTTGAGGGGTGGGAGTCAGTGAGGGAAATAGGTTTGGGTTCTGTGAAGCCTGGACTCGCTTACTGTGGTACAGGGGATACTTGAACAAGCATGCTGTCTCCCCAACATCCTTTCTGTGGTAATCCTGCTACTGGCAAGGACTGACCCTGAGCTGATGGGAGTGACCAGCAGGGTCCACCCACAGCCCTGGCGTCTCAGGACTCTAGGACCAGTTTAGGGTCACTGGGGTCCCCTACATCTGAACAACAGCATCCTCATCTTCACTCATGCTTTGTGGGGCTGGGCAGGGTGACTGCCCTTCCCTAGGGGGGGCCGGGGGAATGACTCCGCTGTGAAGCACAGTCCTCAGGTTTGCCCCTCAGCCCTCCTCTTGAGGCCAAGCCCCACTCCCTTGCTGAACCCCAACTTCCTGATTCTTGCTTTGTAATGTGAGGCCCCTGAGCTGGACGCAGAGTGGTTCCACAGGGCTGTGTCCTCCTGGAGGCTGTATTCCCCGCCCCCAGAGTCCAGGGCCCACATCTGAGAGTGGCCGCTCCAAAGGCAGGAGAAGCTTGCAGAACAATCACATTACAGTGCTTGTCCACAGGCCTTCATAACTCCACCCGTGTTCATGTACACTCCTGCCAGACGCCCTACTGTGCGTGTCCCCGTGATGACCTCGCCAGCACTGAGCATCTGGCCACTGTGCTGGGCTGAGGTGTGAGGACATTGTATGTCCTTCTGCCTGCTCCTCTGACCTTGGCCTCTTCCCCATCCCCCCTTCTTATGTGTCTCCCTAGATCTACCTCAGACCTGGCAACCTGGAGATTCTTGGTAGAATTGTGCGTGGAAGTCACTTGGCCCTGGGTGTTGGAGGCTGCAGGGCTAGGGGTGGCCGCCTCTCTGTGCCTCGGTTTCCCCACTTGTCAAACATCAGCTAGGCCCCCTCCTGGTAGCCCTCCTCTCTGGGCCCAGGGGAGGGGAAGTGTGGAAATCATGAGGCCCGGTCCCCAGGTTGGGCTCTGCCAGGTCCCAGTCAGTCTGGGCTCCCACGCTAGCCCCTTTGCAGAGCAGAGGCCTGTCCCCGTCGCCTGTCTGTCCCCGCCGTGGCCCGAGCCACCCTCTGCCTGGCCTGTGGGAAAGTCTGAATCTGTTACTATTTTCTCCCTGTTATCAGCGCCTTATCTGACTGCTGTGTGCTGCCCGGAGGCCAGGGTCTCTCTCCTGGCAGGGACATGCCCCCAGCAGCCTGGGTGCCCCCCACCTGCCCACCCGCTGCCCAGGGTCAGCCAGAAGAGGCGTTACTGTTAAACAGAATCCTCCCCCTGTAACTGTGTTGGGGGAGTAGAGTAGTTCTTGCCAGTCTGGGCTGGACCTCTCTCCTGCATCTTTTGACCCCCACCCCAGGTCTCCCCTCCCCCTTAGGCTGACCCTCTGCACCCTCTTCCCATTCTGTGACCTTTACCCTTTCTACCTGGCCCCAAACGGACCCCTCCTTGTCCAGTGCCTCCTTCGTATCCCATGTTCTTGGGAGCTCCCAGCCTTGTTTCTTCACCCCTGGCCCAGGGGGAGGAGTGCCCACCTGTCAGTTGTAGTAACAACCTGCCCATGCACAGAGACAGTTGTCACACACACACCCAGGTCCAGTGGGGGCACTGGCCTCTGGAGAAGTGACCACCCTCAGCCACATGGCTCAGCCTGAGCCCAGTGGCCAGCAGCCTTCCCTGTCCAGGTCCCTGCTTTCCTGACTGAGGTTCCCACCTCAGCTTCATACCAATGACTGCATCTGTATTTTTACTTTTGGGGGGAAAGCGTGTCTTACTTCCTGCGAGACTTCTCACTGCAGAGCCAGGCACGGAGAGGGTTCCAGAAAGGTTTGATGAGAGCAAGTTAGCGAGTGAGTGGCAGCATGGACTAGCTCTAAGGAGAGCTGAACCCTAACAGAAGCAAGCCCAGGTAGGCTAGCATGTTGGGTGGGCTGATCCTGTCCAGGTGACCCACCAGCCATGAGGACTGCCCGAGGACTCTGTGCTGACGTGCACATCTGTCTCTGGCCACCTGGAGACAGTATGTGGGGGGCTTCCCAATGGGCACAGCCAGGAGGGCCAGACGGAGAGTTTCCCTAAACCTCTGAGCCACCCCATCCCCACTAGCCTGTAGCACCTGTCCCCCCACCAGTGACTAGACCCAAAAGCCCCTAGTACCGTCTCTTAAAAGCAGCAGGGCATGAGCACGTGGAGCCCCCCCCCCCAACACACACACACAGAGCCACCTCGTAATTCAGTTTTAAAGCATGAAAAAAGGGAGTTGATGAAATCCCGCTATCAGCGCTAAGCCAATATGCAAAATATCTCACCCCCAATCAAATAGCTATTATGTTTCCATTTCCATTTCGGCGTCTGGCTTAATGAGCAGGAGACGGAGCGGGGTGTCTGCTCGCCCTGATAACTGAGGGGCTTCGGGCACTGCAGGGGGCCACGCCCAGCCTTGCCCAACCGGCCAGTGACCATCATTGCCGCCCACAGATGCCCCCAGCCATGAAGGACACCAGCATGGCTCTGTGGGGTACACAGGGCAGCCTAGCCCCCCAGTACAGCAGGGGGTGAAGTACCAGGAAGGGTGGCATGTGGTAGGGGTTTGGAGTGAGTCCCCTGCCTGCCTGTCCCTGTCTCCTCAATGACAAGTCAGCTCCCCTCCCTCTGTTTCCTCATCTGCAAAGTGGGTGTGATTCAGACTTAGGTCTGAGAGGCTCAGGGTGTGGGGGAGACATGCCCATCGGAGGTGGCATTCAGGGTCTGCCTCCCTTCCACCTGTCCCCACTATACCTGGCCACCAGTCCTCCTGCCCCTGTGTGCTAAGACCATTAGCCCTCTGAGCCTCAGTTCCCCCATCTGAGCTGGAGGACAGTGATGACCTGGCTGGACACTAAGGGTGACATTTGTGAAATATTGTGAGCCCAGAGCCTGTGTTATAAGTCAGCACTTAGTAATCAACACAGGCCCTGCCCCCCTCTCACGGACCCTGTCAAGCAATGGGTTTGTTGTGATGATTAATGTCGGCGACGCCTGCTCTGTGCCAAGCCCCGAGGGCAACTCTCTGATGTGGGCCAATGACACACTTGTATTTCCATTTGTGGATGGGGAAACCAAGGCACCGAGAGTACACAGCATGGATTCAGTAAGCCTGTTGACTTGCCTCGCCGTGGCTGGCCTGCCCCCTCCACCTGGGTCGCTGGACAGAGACCGTGGGAGAGGGTCCCCAGAGGAGCTGGGCAGGCAGGGGTCTCACCTAGCACAGAGTGCTCTTGGGACTCAGCAGCATCATCGAGGACACTCCAGGCCAGTAGAGAACCCTTCCTCCCTAAGCCCCAGGTGGTGAGGATCCAGGGGCCCCATCCCCACCTGAGAAGCCCCCCGTGGGACCCCAGATGCACCCAGGTGGGGGTGGTGCAGGCTCGGGGTGTGAGCAAGGACAAGTTCACTTGTTATCGGGCTGAGGCAGTGTGGACGCAAATCCACTCGAGCACCTCCGGTTCGCGGCGGGGAACGTTATAGGAGCCTCTATAATTGTGCCAGAGCTGGAATTAACCGCATTAGAATAAATTGCCGCACCGCCAGCAGCCCCTCTCTCCACGCTCATCATGGCGACTTTGTGTGGAACCCAAGCCTTTGTGTTCCACAAACGTGCCTGCCACGGGCCCCTCTCCCTGGGTGGCTCAAGCCACCTGGGTGGGCACCTCGAGTCAACTGCCCTCCTGAAGGCCCCGACAGTCGTGGGAGGGATTGGCTGCTGTGGTACCTAGCATCCACCCAGCCCCCCTGGGTCACTGGAAGTGGTGGTGGCATTGTACCCATTTATCAGACAGTCAAGCCCCTGAGATCCAATAGCCATTCAGCACACAGGGACATGTGGGAGAGAGCGGACAGGAGGTGAGGCCCAGTCCCCAGCAGCCGGCATGTGGGCTGTGTGCTGCTCTCAGAGGCTGGCCAGCTCCAGGCTGACCCTGACCCTGGCCCTGGCCCATGCTGTGGGAGGTCACGGCTGGTCGGCCCTCACGCCTGTCCCAGGGGCACGGGTTGACTGGTGAGGGAGGACCCAGCTTACACTCAGAGCCTGCCAGTTCCTATGTGCGCTGAGCCCCCCACCCACCCTCCTGTAATTACAGCTCCAGAGACGGCAGCTGGGAAACCCTCTGCCAGTGCCCAGGAGTCCAGTGCTGCCCCTGGCCAGCTCCTCCCTCCTCTCAACCGAGTTCCTCAACTCCCAGCTCTCTGTCCCCGCGGGAAGCTCGCTCTCTCGCACATTTGCTCTTTTATAACGTGGCGTTGTTTTTGGTGTGGGGCCCACTTCCTGTTCTTTGACCATCTCTACCACGGGCTTGGAAGTCTCCCCGTGCCCTAGACATGCCTGGACTCAGGGGTCAGCATACATAGCCACCGGTCCACTTACCTGATCCCTGTCCATCTGCAATCAGAGTGGCGGGCTGAAACACAAGCCGACAGAAAAACAAACTTCCCACCTCCCTGATCTGTGCCAGTTACTAGATTTTAAAAATCAGCCGGAAACTGGTTCACAGACTCTCTTGTCCATCACAGTCCCCTGGGCACTTGTATCTGAGGACATGGCCTTGGGATGACCCAGCCTGACTGCCAGGGGCTCTGACAGAGACCAGGAGAGGATGGGGCACGGGTCTCCCCTAGAACAAGGTAACAGTAACCCTGTATCTGACCGTTGTTGGTCACTTTGTTCTTTGCTGGGCAGATGGTTGAAGGCATCCACAGGCCCACCCACCTCTCCCAGCAACAGACAACCCCTCTTTTCTTATCCCCATCAAATGGGACACGGGGGTATGGGGGTGCTGATGGCACCTTGCACCCCTCGAGGTCACCAGTATGCTGGGAGGTGAGTCCCAAGCTGGCTGGTCGTGGCCCCGAAGCCCCTCACCTCCCACTCGGCTGTGTCCACAGGGTCTTTTGGAGATATGGAGGCTGGAGAAGAGGCGCAGACCATGGACTCAGGCCTCACAGAAGGGGTGGCCACAGCACCAGAGCCAGAGCCCAGCGGGGAGCCCGAGCCCCCGAGCCCTTCCAGAGGAGGTGAGTCAGGGATGCATGTGGGCAGGGGTCTTGTTCCACTACCCTCATGGGGACTTCCTTCCCACATCTGTGAATTGCCATCCATGTTGAGGGTCAGGAGAGACCTGGGTGTCTTCCCCTCCACAGGCTGGTCTAGGTGACCCGCTGCCAAAAGATGAGCCTATCCGGTTCCTCTAAGATTCACAGTCTCGGGAACTCTTCGGGGCAATTCTACTCAGCCCAACAGGATCACCTTCATGGTAGTGGGGTTGTTTGTTTGGTACAGATGGGGAAACTGAGGCCTGAAGGGATAGGTTTGTCTAGCTCAGGGTCAGGTAGTCACGTGGGTCATCATGTGACATGAGACAATCCAGGCCCCAGACTCAGTTTTCCCTCTGTGGAATGGGCTAACGTGCCAGGTTCGGGCTCTGTACAGTCTCCACATGTGGCCCCGTGCTGTGCATATTAACTCCTTTGTCTGGGAATGAAACCCAGAGAGGTTAAGTGACTATCCCAGAGTCACACAGCCTGAAACCCAAGTCTGTGACCTGAGCCCACCTGGGTCAATGTGGATTCATACTGACCCTCCTCCCCCGTTCCTCCTCCCCCATCCCTCTTCCCCATCCCTCCACCCTCATTCCTCCTCCCCCTCCCTTCTCCCC